TGAGTGCTACACCCACCCCAGGGCAAGTAGCCTGCATACAATAAAAGGGGCAGAAAGAGGCTAGTTTCCAACCTTCTCACTCTTTTGGTATCTTCCATGACCACAATCTACTGCCCTCTGCCAAGCCAGCCTGCCTTGGAGCCAGATGATTTTCTCTCTTAATTGGGGCATCCAGTATTTTGTTTCAGCAATGAGAAATGTAACTAAGACAGACCTAGAATAACAAAACCAATCCTGGGCAATAAGGGCAAGGCAGGGGGCATAACCTCGAACTTCAAGTTGTGCCCAAAGCTACAGTGATTAAAAAAACCCAACCAACCAAACAAACAAACAAACAAAAAAAACACACAGCAGGGTAGAGTTGGAGATATAGCTCAGCGCACAGCAATCACAAGGCCCTGAGTTCAACTTCCAATACCAAAATAAAACCAAAACAACAAAACCCCAGCATAGGCGACAGCTCAGTGGTCTAAGCACCTACCTAGCAAGTGTAAGGACCCAGGCTCGATCCCCGGTACTACATGTTATGCTGCTCCCAGAGCCAGAGCATTCCATGCTGGCCACCAAAACCAGGCATGGTAGTGCATATCTGTAATCCCAGCACTGGGGAGGCTGAAACAGGAAGAACACTACAAGTCCAAGCTGTGTAGCAAGACTCTGTACCAAATAAATAAAAAGATTATAAAAAAAAAAAAAAGAACCACCCAGCATAGTGCTAGCAAAAAGCAGACACGCATTAGCAGAACAGAATTAGAGGATGCAGAACAACTCCAAGCATATTCAGATGCCTTATCCTTGACAAAAAGTCCAAAAACTTATGTTGGAGAAAAGACAGCCTCATTACCAAATCGTGCTGGTGGGACAGCTGGCTATCCACATGTAGACTGAATCTAGACCCGTATCTCTTACCACGTACTAAAGCCAAGATGAATCAAAATCTGTATATGAAAACAAAAACGCTTAATTTGATGAAGATAAAACAGGAGAAACCTTCAAAGGCACATGGGCAAGGACTTTCTGGACATACTCCCAATGGCACAAGAACTAACAGCAAGAGTCAACATATGGGATCATAGCACAAAACTTCTGCTCAGCAAGGGAAACAACCGACAAGGGAGGAGATGACCAACAAGATGGAAAACAATTCTGCCAGAGAGTACTAATATTTAGAAAACATAAAGAACTCAACAATATTAAATCACCCAAAATAATAAAAGATACAATAAAAAATGAGCATCTGAAATGACACTTCTCAGAAAAACTTTTTATTATTATTATTGTTTTGTATTTTAGGGAAGGGTCTACAGGGTATTCAGGGTCTCACTACTAATCGGACTCGTAGTGATCCGCCTGTTTACAGCCGCCCAAGAGCTGGGATTACAGACGTGCGCCACCATGCCCAATCTCAATTGCCATCTTAGTGTGCCCCAGCTGCAGGGCCAGCACGGCAGGTGTGGGGATCAAACCCACCGACCCTGTGCCTGCTTGTGGGCACTTTAATCTGCTGAGCTATTTGGCCAGCCTTAGAAAAATAATTTATATTGGTCAATAAACACATGAAAATATATTCAGCAGTTGTGCTGGCCCTGCCTCCAGGGTGCGCTGAGACAGCGACTGAGACTGGGCATACTGGCTCATGCCTGTAATCCCAGCGTTTTTAGGAGACTCACTATGAGTCCAATCTGTGTAGTGAGATCCTGTACTTCATGCTTAAAAAAAAATATATATATATATATATGTACATATATATTCAACATCTCTGGCCTATAGAGAAATGCAAATTAAAACAACACTAAGATTCCAGCTTACTCCAGAATGAATGGCTGTCATCAAGAAGTCAGGTAACAACAAATTCTGGTGACAGTATTGCGGGGAATGAGGACCACTTCTCCACTGTTGATGGGAATATTAAACTAGTTCAGTCTCTATGGAAATCAGTATGGCGGTTCCCCAGAAAAACTACACATAGACATTCCATTTGACCCAGCTATTCTACTTTTCTTTCAGAGAGGATTACAATCATATTACAGTACTCCATCCACACCCATGTTTT